ATAACTAAAGGGGCGTGGAGACCTCTGCCACATACTGAATATTGTATGATTGCATGTGTGTATAAACAGTATGTGTGTGGGTGGAGGGGGCGGCTGAGTCATTCCAGTCCTTAATCCTGAGACCTTGAGGCGGAATAGCGTTTAAATGAATTCCCCCGACTTCCTCTTCTTCCAAGTCTTCTCTCCCTGTTCCTCATTAGAGTCTTGAGAAAGTGTCAGGATTCACAGGGAGGACCGGTCATATCCGGTGTGCACTGATTCAGAAATCCCCCTCCTTCACTCAGACTGGAGCTGGAAATCTCTTGCTACCTTATGACTCTGTGAGATTTGATTAAAGGTGCTTCAGTTAGATTATAGAAACTATTACTAATGCTATTTTACTCACATGTGACAGTTACATATAATTATGTATATATATTTTTTTTATTTGATGGTCATATTTACACCAGCATAATCATTAAAATCCACCAAGGAAGAGGTCATAAGTTGTATCTTGAGTCTAATGTGAGTAACTCAGAGCACAAAAACATGTTTTCAGTCACAGAATAAGAGTGCAGATCCTGTGCACGTCTGAGTTCTTTCACATGCCCTGTTGTCCTTGAGTAGTGCCACAGTCACATGGTTTTTATTGTCCTATTAATTTGTCCCCAAACGTCCAGGAGGCAGGTCGTGAGAAGGAAAGAAACACAAAACATCAGTGTGTTACAGAACAGTAAGGAAATCCTTAAAGGTTCTGTATCTGTCATTCAGAACAGTAACACAGCAGCAAACCTCTGTTTGCTACGTAAGGATACAATGGAGTAATGGTGTCCTGAGCAGAGAATGAAGCCACACTACCTCAGTGTGTGTTGTAATCTGAGCCTCTGTTTGTTGTCATAGGCTGTAGGCTGGTCTGGCTGCGTGTGCATGTGTGTATCCCACTGGCTAGTTCATCGCCGCTGTGTTGCATTGCGCTCATAACAGAGTTTCCATCCACCTTCCTTTTCTCCTTGGTTAACACCATTAGCTCTGTCAGCACCGCTGCTGCTGTTTAGCACTGTTTATGAAGTTAGCAACATTAGCTTAGCCGCCAGCTCAGCTTGCAGCTAATTGACAACTAATAATTGCCCTTATCCCTGAAGTATTTGGGTAACGTCTGAATTTACTGAAGCCCAGCTAGGAGTCATCAGTTTACTGTTGATCTCTTGGTCAGCTGATCAGTCCACCACTTTGTTCCAGACCATAGACTATAAAAATAGTGGACATGGCTACGGTGACGTCAACCATTGGTTTGCGGACTCTGTTTTGAAGCTTTCAGTTTAGCATTGCGTCCATTGCCATCTTGGTTTTTGGAGCCAGGAGCGACCATATTTGGGCGAGAGGCTGGAGCAAGAAAGAGCAAGTGGCAGATTGACTCGCTCTTGGAGCAAGCCTCAAGTGGCCATTAGGGGAACTGCCTTTGTTGGGCACTTCACTGTTGGCTTCATTTTTTAGCCCCAGAGGTTGCTGCTTGATCCAGACAGAAATATCTCAACAACTATTGGATTAATTTAACAAACATTCATAGTGCCCAGAGGAAGAATCTTAGTGATGTTGATTATCCCCTATTTTGATGATATCGATAGATTTAATAGTCCATAACCAACGCTATTAAGTTTAGGCTTGAACCTGAGCATGTAAAACTTTTTTTTTTTTTTTTCACGGTAATTTTATAAAGGAAAAAAAGTCTAAAAATGTGAATTGTCATGTTTTTTTTTACTTCTCTATGACAGTTAAGTGAATATATTTGGGTTGAGGACAAAACAAGACATTTAATTACATCATCTATAGCTTTGGGAAACATTGATCAACATTTTTGACCTTTCCCTGACTTTTTAAGACCAAACAACTAATCCATTAATTGACATTAAAAGCTGCAGCCCTAGAACCATCTAAAGCTGCTGGATGTCTCCAGTCATCCCAGGCTCATATCCCTCCTGCTCTTAACATTGTAAAATATCCCTGTATACCACAGATAACCAAATTTTCTGTTGGTGGGTTCCACTGAGTCTCACCATGTGAAAAAGAAAACACTTTTCAGCAGATCCTGTAGCATTAAAGAGACTAATGACATGCAAACTCTGCTGGATAGAAACATCTATATATTCCGCAGCAGGGCACAGACTGCGGTTAGTGCCTCACAGGGAAACTTTGAAACCAGATGGAGCCTATCCCACACAAAACATCATGAAAAGAACAGGGGGAGGGGGAGGGCGGGGGCGAGGGGGATTTGAGTCAAACGCTGATGTACTTGGCAGTTTTCCATGCTTGGATTTATTAGGGGGTTTATTACCATCGCCAAACACACCTCCATGTTCACACGGCTCATATAGCAGGAGCTACTGTGTAGTGCTGTGCTGCAGGAGTTATTTCATGTTTGGGTTTCAGTTATAACAATGAGTCAGTTAGTTTTTAGTATTTCCTGGTAGAGTTGTTAAAGATCAAGGAGGCAGCAGAGAGGCTCGGACCTGCTGACTCAACATTAACCCCGTAAAGAGTGTCATGGACAGCTGGCTCTGCATGTTCGTTTCTAGGCATTTCTAATATTAGACTGGCCTCAGGCTACTTCCGTTGAACCTCTCTCTTACTCAGACATGCTCCCACAATACAAGATTGATGTGCTGTGTCTCGGGCAAGTTATGAGCTCGGGATGTCTTTTTACCCACAGCAGCGCAGACAGGTGGTGACAGGCCATTTTGAAACGATTTGTGAGTAATGGTCAGACCAAAACCGCAGCAGAGGGCCTCTCAGTGCACCTTTCAGCGAGCTCTTAATATTACATCCTGTCAACATGGTGCACACAGGTGAAGGCAAAGCTACAAAACAAGCTCTTTTGTGCAGACGTCTACATTTTTCAGTGCTCCTGATATACACTGAGTGTGAGCACGCAAGAAATAAATATTGCTCACAGTTTGTAACAAGTCTGACTCATGGCTTTTGACTTTTCTGAATTACCTTATAGAAGAGAATAATGTGTGATAAGACTTTAGCATGCAGTGTGTATCATGTAATCTTTGTGGAACACTGGGCCTGAAATGATTACTCCCCTAATAGGGAGAAAAAAGCTAGAAGTGACGTCCAAGTGCTTATTGTGTCCGATCCACAATCCAAAAGCCAAAATTATTTAACTCATAGTCACATAAAACAGACAAAAGCAATAAATATTCACATTTGAGAAGCTGGAACTACAGAATGTTTTACACTTTGGCTTCATTAAATGGCTTCAAGGATTCTGATTACCACTATGTCTGCAGAAATTCTCCAGTAATTATTTGTTGATTATTGAAGTTAGCCCAAAAATTGAGATCAGATAATAGATATTTTTAATTGCTTTATGGCCAGTATGGATAGGAAACATAATTAAAGGACTCTTTCGGGGCACAATACTTTTATGATTATGAGTACTCAAGGAGAACAATAACTGATACTTGAAGTGATAAACATTTGCAGTAAAAATGAAAATCAAAATTTGTCAAAAGTTTTAAACAACAAAAACTCTCAAAAACCCCAACACAAAACTTTAAGTGTCCTTAAGCTTTATATGTTTAACTAAATGGTGCAAAAGAGAACATTGCTCTTCCACCTTATTTGCATGTGTTGCAGCCTGTCTTCCCTGGTGTTGATATGCCACTCTGCATTTTCACCTCCAAAAATATTTTTTGTGGTGGGGTTTCTGTGCCACTGTGTTGAGTTTCTGTGAAGTGCAGTTATGTTTGATTGATCCACCTGAATCACACATAAAACATGGCTTAATAGTGACAAGATTAAATAAAAGTGCATTTAGGCTCCATTATAACTCACAGACAAAACAGTTGTCTTCTGCTAGATTCGTTTTCTCCAGAAATACAACATGCTAACGTTATTAGCATAAGCCTATGACATTTAACATTGCATAAATTAGCCTAGTGGCTAGCAGACAGTGACTAATGTGACAGGTCCTTGCAGTTCTCGTCCTTATACCCAAGTTTCATCCAGTAGCTACTAGTAGACTGACGGGAGAATGTTATCATCAGAAACAATTGGTGTCTTCTGCAACTTCATCATATTGTGATGTTCAATTTCAGTAATATATCTGCTGCCTTACATTCTACAACCAGCTTTGCTCGCTAATCGGAGTAGCTCCAGTCTGTGTTTTTTCTCTGTCAGTGGCACGGCAGCCCTCAGTGTTGATAGGTAATTACTTGTAACATGTAAGCAATCAGATACTGCTGTGGACGGGACATTGAGCAAGACAGCAGAGGACGTCGTGTGTGTAACTGCAGACACGTTCCATTTGTGACCAACACAACTAGAACAAGACAAACCCACTATCGCGATGGTTATCTGAACCCTTCTACAATGCTACACTGTCGTAAATGAATATGAGGCCAAACATAGCAATAATCCACTGTATATTACATTATACATGAAGACAAGATTCAGCTTATAAGTAATGAGATGTAACCCTTACCCTAACCTTAACCACCTCTCTTTTAAGCTAATACTTCATGGCTAGCTAATAGCTAACTTAGCATTTTCATTGTGGCTTCCACCTCCTTGGCAATAGGCAAAGGGGGCTGATTGTGCACTGGTTGGCGAGTCATCTAGCTAATGGGTTGGTCACATAGCTGCTCCAGCTGCAGCTATACCTACTTGCAGCTTGAGTGGTGCAACATATCCTCATTCACCACTTTGTATATCCTACAAAGTACCGCCCCACTAATGATGTTACTTATATAACATGCCTGCAGACAGAGGCAGGTGGCGGCACCAGAGCCAAAGAAATGCATTTTTAATTAATGTATGGTATCGGCCGTCAGATGAAAAGAATCATAAATCTAATAATCAGAAAAATGCCAAATATTGTAGCCCATAATTGGCCAGACTGATAACCAGTGGATCCCTACAGTACATATGGCATGTGAGACACAACAGAAGTGTCTGTCTGTGTTTTGTAAATTCCCTGAATCTAATAATAAATATTGGTTTTATTCTCGTTCCAGCGTACACGCAGATCCAGCCCCACTCCCTGGTTCAGCAGCACAAGCAGCAGCAGCAGCAGCAGCAGCAGCAGCAGCAGTTTGTGGTCCATCAGAGTCAAGCTTCCCAGAGGACAGCAGGCCAGCTGCTGCAGACAGCCTCCATTCAGCCATCACAGCACCCTGTCCCCGTCCTGCCCAAACCTGCTCCACACCAGCCCTCCACGCCCAGCCAGCAGGCCACCATCTTCCACTCCACCATCAGCCCCCACGCCCTCCACTCCTCCCTCAACCATGCCAAAGCTCAGCCCGTCCAGCTCACTGCCATCAACCTACAGATACAGCCAACGGTGAGGACACTTACACGCACATGCCAAGGTCTCAAACAAAAGAGGTTTTGAGCAACTTGAAAAATATATTTTGTTGTTGTTTTTATTAAATCAGTAGTTGCCAGTATCAATGATCAGGTTAGATTCATAGATACATGTTGGTGTAAAGGCAGGTCAGGGACTTGCCTCTTATATAAATTTAGTTTAGTTTAGACACACTGGACCATGTTTTGGCAGGTATTGTTACTAACAGGGCAGGTTCCCCAGAATCCCCATGTCCCAGTGTTTTCTGATGTATACTATTGATGCTAAAATTATGTAATGGTGCAGCACTGTTGTTCCAGTCTTCACAGAAAACACTGGCAATTGGGAAATAATTTGTTCTTAGCCAAGGCAGCAGCGCAGCGCCAGGGATGGCAATGTTTGGCTGTTGGTTGGTCCCCCCATTCAGTCCACAGTGAAATATCTCTACAACTGTGAAATTTGCTACACACTTTCAAGCCAAGCAGCCACCTCCAGGGCTGAAAAATTAAGCCAAATCTGCAGTTCTTCGAATGGCCGCTCTCTGACATCAACTCAACATGCTGAATTGGCTGAAAAAGAGCTGACAAGGGCCAGCTAGTGCCAACATTGCGGGACACGCCACAAAAATTAGGGCAACAGATGCTCACCAACAGCCTGACCATCAACTTGGTGTGTCATTGTGAGCATGATATCATGCTAATGTTAGCATTCAGCTCAGAGCACAGCTTCACAGTGCTGCTGGAAATGATTTACTTTATTTGGATATGTGAGGAAAATTTAATAGAAACACTGACAAAAAGTCAATTTTCTGAACTTGTAACATGTTTCGTATATCTAGAGGACGGTATAGGAGGGTATCTCTTTTTCACAGTAGCATATCATCCATCGTGTGTTTCCAGAACTGCTTATTTTTATGATTCATTTTTTTGTCCTCAATTTGTTTATAATGGGGCACGACTTTCTGTCCTACTTGACATCCTGACTTTTTGTGTCGCCAACATTCTTGATGTTTTTTTAAAGTGGTAACCAGCAAAAGAAAAACTACTGGTCCAACAACAACCACCGAATCAATGTCTACTCCAAGACTTACATGTTGAAAAAACAGGAATCTTCTGAGTTTGGGATTCCTGGTGTAATATTTTCCCACTGCTGTGATATTTTCCAAGCCTAATGGTTTTCACTTTTTGAGTCACTGACATTAAAGGTATCAACAGTCCCTGATCTGTCTCTTCGCCACTGTCTCAGACATTACTTTCTCATGTTTCCCCTCTTCCTGATACACATCGTAGGCCTCTCGCCTGGTTCAGGACAGCAAAGATAAGCCAACCTCACTGGTGGTCAGAGAGACATGTCCAGCCCCCGCCACCCAGCAACAGCAGCCACAGCAACAGCAGCAACCTGCGCCTTCGCCATCCCAACCCAGCAAGCCCGTAGAGCAGCCCAAGGTCGACCCAGCCACGCCATCTGTTCAGCCACAAGGTAATGACTCAGCATGACTTCCTAAGCTGCTAAATTACACTTTGTAGAGTACTCCAACATTTTGGTAAATAAACTTTGTAACCAATTAGCCACTGGGACAAGAAGTAGCAGTTAAACTAAAAGTTTTCTCCTTGTCAGAGAAATTGAACCATTATTTCTGCTCTGCCCTGCTGGTATTGGCCAACTCTTGGAGACCTTCAGCGGAGGGAAGGAAAATCGATGCTGATTTTTACTTGTAATTCAGAACATGTTGTGTCTGCAGCACATTTAGTCTCACTACTCTCTGTCTCTTATTGCTTAGTTTGTTGTTGATTTCCCTGAGCTGCGGCCAAAAAGCTCACCTGATAACCACAATTCCCTCAGCTCTGCCATGTTATGCACAAACATTTAAACCCACAACAAAAACATCACAACAGCAGTAATATAACCAGACTCATAATGAACACTTTGTTTTGTTGTGTGTAACTTACATTGGAAATAATTTAACACACACTGTTTCCTGTGTGAAGGCCCGGACACACCAAACTGACATCAAAGAACTAGCAGCAATGAAAGCTGACTGTTGTGTTGCCTCATGTTGCCACGTCTCGCCCAAAAAGTGAAACATGAACACATTGTAAAGACTCAACTGATGGCCAGCCAGCATGTACGTTCTGCGCCTGCAAGAGAGGAAATAACTTTCCATACCAGCAGATGGTGGTATTCCTTTTTCAAAAAGTGAAACCAGAAGGCCATTTTGACGATAGTTAGCCAGTCAGCACATTGACAACACGAGCCGGTATTGATAGACCAAAGCATATTTACCGTGTGCCACTTAACAATAACTCAAACCATCACGAACTGTTTCTGCGTCAGAGTTCAATGGCTAAAGAAATACAGTCTAACCTTATGCAACAAGTTTGTTTTGGTTTCACTCCCTCTTGAATTTAGCTCATTGTTTACTTTCCTCACTTCTGTTTCTCTTCTCATGCACTGAGCTGAACTACCAATCAGAGTGATTTCATTCAGCGACAAGCTCTGCCATTGCCATGGCGGATTAAACATGCTGAATCGACCAAAAAAAAAATTACACGGGGGAAAACAAGGGGCAAAGTCACTAGACGCACTGACTACAGCAACAGACGCTCACCAGTAGCCCAACAATGACTAACAGCTGATCATTAGCTTGGTGTGTCCGGGCCTTAGCACCCACAGTGCAGGGGCGACGTCATGGTCATATTTTGTTCACACCCATTCACATACATGAGGCAGAAAAAAGATATAATGCAGCTTATTACAACACCATCGTTTAGGGCTGGGCAATATGAAGATATATATCGTTATCAACATATGAGACTATATATCATCTTAGATTTTGGATATCTTTGTATCGTGTATCAGAAATGTTTTTTTTCCCGCATTTTACAGGCTGCATTACAGTAAAGTGATGTAAATTTATCAACTTACCAGACTTTTCTATTTGCTTTAACACTTGCCTCAACCTACGCAGTTGTTATATCCTCATTATTGATGATTATTAATAAAAATCTTAACATTTTAATATTTTCTGGGGGAAAAAAGTAGTCACCCCTACAACTAGAAAGCACTAGCAAGAAATATTGTGATGTTTGATTTTGTCTCCCAGTCCTGGCATTAATGAAACGCTTTTGATGAGATTTAAAGATACCAAGATATATATTGTGTATCGAGATATTGCTGAAAAATATCGTGATATAACTTTCTTTGTGACACAGTGTCAACAAAACCTGAAGAAGCTCAAAGATTATCACACAGCTGTTCTGTTGGATTGCATAAGATAGTACAGGTGTCAAAACTGATGAACTGGTGAGTCAAAGTATAGCACTACCGTTGATTCACTATTTCTGCAGGGAACGATGACAGCTTTTGTCCATTACACAGCTTGTGTAATAGACTATTATGACAATTGCTTGGAAGATCTGAAGTTTCTAAACTTTGGAAAACTGTTACGAAATGTGGGATGGCCCTAAGATTATATTTTCACAATATAATCCAGTTAAAAAGCTTTTATGTATCAAGAAAATCCCACAAATGTTGCATAGTCAGTAAAACGTGTTTTCATATCGCTGCATTTTTTCGCCTGATGTGCACATTTTGTCAGCCAGATGATTTAGATAAAAGGGATAAAGCCGGTCCTGATTAATGATTTGACTCACAGTCAGCAGTGTGTGATCATGCAGCAGCTTCACTCTTCTTGCTGAGCATTAAATGATCTTGATGTACTTTCTAAATGTTGACACAGATGAGTTTCTATAGTGACATTTCTCCTAAACGGTTGGAAATGGGACTAATGCTGTGTTTCTTGTAAAGTGAAACATTCTGTAGACCACAAATTGCTGTTTATGGGCAGTGAGTTGGGTGTGATGCTCACCACCAGAGCAGGAAACTATTTTTGTAATCCATTGGCTGCAGGGCTGATGACGCTGTTTCATCTTTCTTTTTTTTAATCTTAGGAAAATTGAACAAAAGCTGTTTTTCAGTTAAAGTGGCTTATTGAGTGTTCAAGGTTTCCAGCGACAAAGATCATCTGCAGCCGTGCTCTCTGCGAACAGATATTCAGACACACTGTCACTTCTCTCTCAAGCGTCTCAGTGGAAGTATGTAAATAGAGTAGAGGGTGTTACATTAAGAGCACACTGATGACACATCACAGAATATATAGCCTGCAGCTCACCCCTGCACTGAGGACTCTGGTGTCATGTCCTTTGTGTTAGCTTCTGGGTGTTTGGGGTTATTTTAGGTCACGTTCAGACAAATATTAGCACTGTGAGAAAAAACACAGCACCCCTTATTAATTGTAATGGCATGGCTCTTTCTACTGTTAACCTTTACAATCATCAAGATAAGATGATTGTCACCATGATTACTTTACATTGGGATGATGTCACACACATTAAGAGTGCTTCTCTATGTTCTGTGAAAGTCTTGCAAATAAAAAAAAACTCCCTTGGTTTAAAGTTAATAATACAAAGAGAGATAATTGACTTTGAGTGTAGTTTGAGAGGTCTCTTATAATGGTGGTCTATGGGGAAATGCTTTTGGGGTTCCAGTACCAGATGTAGTATCACTTGTCCCTCAGGGATCAGCTCTCTTAATACATCCCAGACTTCATGGATCTGTAACTCAGACTGGACTTCCTGAATTATATTTCATCGTCTCCCCATTAACTAAAACAACACACGGCCCACAAATGCAGCATGTTGATTCTTTTATTTAATGCAGGGCTCTTTTCTGTCTGAACACCAGAGGTGGAAGAAGTCTAAACTCGAAAATATTATTAAAAATATTGTGATATTTGATTTTCTCCCTATCACCCAGCATTAATTAAAATGTAGGCCTACATCACTTAAATGTTTAATCTTCTTTAAATATTTGATCTGCTGGGTCATTTGTCAATTTCCCCCTGGGGATCAATAAAGTTATAACCTTATCTATAATATACACAGATCCAGATTAATAATGCTAAATATAATCAACAAAGTCTACAAACTTACACTTGTGCGTCAGCTCTATGCAGAGCCTATGCCACCATTGTGAGTATTTATACTTGTACGTGGTGTGTCTGTGTCACTCTGCAGTTACACCTCAAACACTAGTCTGCTGCGGAGGTTTCTGTGAAGTGCTGTAAAGTTTAGTTGATTCAAAACACACATGAAACACACATTAAACATGGCTTAATAGAGACAGTTTCAAACACAAGTACACAAATCAGCTTCACTGAAACTCGCAGTATTCACACGCAAAACACTTGTCTTTATCTGGACACATTTTCCCCACAAATACAACATGCTAACATTATTAGCACAAGCCTGTGGCATTTTACATTATATAAACTAGCCTAGCAAATAGCTGAGATTTCCTCTGCTGATATGAAGGCAGGAAAAATCACACACAAGACTTAAATGCTATTTGCGGAGGCTTTATTGTCTTCACAATTTATTGTTTCTTATCTGTGAAATAAAAGCAAATAAAAGCACCGTTTCCACTGAGGGAAATGGTTTCAGCAGGAGGTCTGCGTCGCAGCGACATGGAGTTACATTTCTTGAGAGGTGCACGTCAGGCTACAGCGTATTATACTAATAATATAGTAATAATTTAATGATGTATCATTTTGTAATCATTTTTTTGTATGATAATTTAATAAAAACCCACACAGAGTCATCCCCCTCCTCTGATAAGTAGAGAACAGTCCCTACATTTCCTCTCTGTGGCCCTGCAGCAAACACACGCTACTGTCTCAAGTTTGTGGCTTTAATTGGTTGTAGTTTAATTGGATATAGTCATTGGGACTACAATAAAGTATTTTCAGTGTGAGGCTGAATCTAGAGACTCTCTCCTCTCAGGTTGAACCGTGTAGTCGTGCAGCAGCAGCAGCAGAGAGCTCAGAGCATCAGATGCTAACGTTAGCTGCTGTGGGAGGAAGCACGGAGGCGGACCCTGTTACACGAGCTTTGCTTTAACGGCTCTGTAGCGGCGCTGCAGCGATCACAGCTCCGGGCAGCAGCGGCGGCAGGTCGGTGTGTTTGTGTCGGATCATTACAACAACAAGCACCAGCTAACCCGCACATGTTTTCTCCGTGAACACAGTGGAAGTTGGTAAGAAACCGAATTAAACACCGGAGACTTTAAACATGATGAAGCTCGGCTGCTTCTTGTTTACTTTCGCTTTGTGAGGGTTTAGTGCAGAGACAAGCTGTTGTTGTTGTTGTTGTTGTTGTTACGGTGGAGAGATGCAGGAAGGACTGACTGTGTGTTATTGATCCTCTGTGTGTCAGTGGGTCACTGCTCATGTTTTCTCTGCTAGTTTAAGACTAGAAAAGTCTTTTATATCTGCAACAGGCAGGTGTGTGTGACTGGATGCTGTTTTATATGTGATAATTATGAATAATGTAACTTCATAGATGCTTTAAAGGCAGACAGTGACTTGGCTCGGCAAAAATAACAAAATACATTTTTTTTAATTTAAGTTTTACCGTTTCATGCTGTCCCTTTAGATGTTTAAAGACATTTCATGAGACGTTTAATGATGTAAAAATAATAATAATGGACATACAGAGGTGGATTTACCCTGCTCCTACACTGCTAGTGTAAGATCAGGTACTGTAATTCAATAAAACATTAATTAAATTGTCAATGATTGGTTTCTAGATTAAAAGTTGACTTATAAAATGTCACAAAATACTCAAAAATGCACATTACATATTCCTGAAGCCAAAAGTGGTGTCTTTAAATGTGTTATTTTGTACACCAAACTGTCTAAAACCCCAAAATATTCAGTTTACTATCACATATGATAAGGAAAGGAACGAAGTGCTCACATTTTAGAGGCTGGATTTAAAAAATGTGTTTTGTAATATTGATGTAAAGATTGAGTCAGACGATTTAGCAGTCCAAAATCCCCAGATATTCAGTTTATGATCACATATGATAAGGAAAGGAAGCAAGTGTTCACATAACAAGCTGGAATTTGAAAATGTTTTATGTTTTTGATTTTAAAGATTGAGTGAGACAATTAATCTGGGGCTGCTTAGTATTTTCTTGATAATTGGTTAATGGTTTTTTCGTAAAAAACTGTCAAAAATACCCAGTTTAAGTCTCCAGATCCCAGTGTGACACTTTCAGGATGCATGTTTTGTGTGAACAGCAGTCAAAAAAGATATTCAGTGTATGATCT